CAATATGTTTTGTGATGTGGTATACATTTTAAATGTTGTTATGTGTAATAATGTACATGTACAGTAGAATGATGTGCAATGTTTTTCTAATTTTTTTGTAATATAATAATGTGCAGCGTTTTTCTTTCTTCTTCTTTTTTTTTTGTTTGCACTCTATTTAAATGTACAGGAGTGCTGGGTGTCCATAACAAATTTCCCTCAGGGGACAATAACATTTTATCTTATCTTATTTCTTTGATTTCTTGCTAATTGTGAAGTAAACAGATCTTTGTCATCCCATTCTTTTTCCTTTTTATACATCTCTTCCCTATGCAGCTTGTTGTGTTGGATTGATATGTACAGATTATAGATACTCATTTAAAACCCAGATAGGTGACATGCTGTGGATGTTAATCTTAATCTAAATTGCCCTGTGATGTTATATATGAAAAATTACATTGCATCCATCTACAAGAAAAATGTCAAACTGTTTGGATTCCAGAATTACTTCTCAGTACTTTTTCACTGCTAACCTCTTTATGGTGACAACCATCTAATTTCCTAAAGGTGTGACAGACATAAAACATATTTTGTGTCAGAGGTTCCATGAAATATTAAATATTTTTCTCTGTACTTAATAATGATGATCTCACACAGATTCAGTGAAAATACTTTAAATGTAGCCTTTGCAGAATTATCAAGGGACTAGAGTTTAGTTAAACAACAACTGAAGATTAAAGAGGTACCTAGAACTATCTGATGGGAAACATATGAAACTGAGTAATTATAGCAATATCAATTACAGGTTTTAAATTTTACACTTATGTAATTGGGTTCTTCACATACCACACTGATTACTTTCATCTGCTCATAGATAAACCTACCAAATAATTATCTTCAGACACAGAAAGGTTTTCACACTAGCTCATCAGAAATTGCAATATGAATACTTCACCATGTAATGGAAACAGATTGTTTGAGTAAAAGTAGAAATAATGTCTCCCTTAAGAGTGAGCTTTTAAATGTATTGAACAATTCATTCTTTTTTTTCCTCTTTGCATCAGCATCCTATTATTACCTTCCTGACAAAGATTATTGGTCTAAAATGATCTGTACTTTTTCAAAGGATAGTCAGGAAATTTTCAGTAAACTAAATCTTAATCATGTGATTTCTATTACTGTTGAGGACAACTAGTATGGCCTTTAGTTCTGACCACTCAGAACTGCAGCTGGATTAAATATTAGGTAAGAAGCAAAATTACAACTATACCAGAGGATTTGAATAGGGGAATTTCCAATTAAATTTAAACCCCTTTTCTCATCTAACAAACTAACAAAATTAGTTAGTCCACCCCAAACATATTATATCTAGGACTGGTTTGAAATGACCTGATTTGCACTAGGTCTGGTCCATCTTTCCTAAATTAAAATTAGGCCGACCAAGATCTGCTCATGCTAAGCAGGACCTATGAAAATACTGCTTTGTGTTAAATATCCTGTGTAGTTGTATTGTCTGAAAATTATTTGAAATGTTATTGTTATTTTCGGTGCGATTAGTAATCGTTATGATAATGTGATGAATGAAGGTGAGATCAAATCCAGACAATCCGAAATATATTAAAATTTAATATTCAAATTATTTCACGGAAGCGCAGACTATTAATGAAGAAAACAAACGCTGCATCGCTCATTGCCCTGTAGCAAGGATACTGTATTTGTTCTTCACACTAGCGCCCTCTGGAAACAGTACATTTGGAGAGCGTGTTGCAGCTCCTTGTTAACGTGCTGCCCTGAGTGGCTCATCCCATTTCGAGTGAACCCGGAGCTATTCTTTCAAACTCTTTACACGGAAGAGCATCGAAGGCACACGATCCGCTGCAGCAAAGCACTTGCACAAGTTCCGCATCTAACCAAACCTGACTGGTCTCTCGCGGGGGGTGAAAGCTGGCGGAAGCAGTGTTCCTGACAGGTTGCAACTCGAAATAAGCAACGCCTTGCGACACACAGGAGGCGGCCTTTAGCGTTTTGCAACTGCCCTGTAGCCTGCCGAGAAGCCGTCCTTTAACCCCAGCTATTGTGGGTGCCCGGATGCTGCGAGGGCATGTTATTTTGACAGCAGAGGAAAAGAAGCGTCAACAAGAATCCCGGCAGGAAACCAAGCGGAAAAGAGGGGTGCTGGAGGGAGGGGGGGAGGACCATTCCAGGTTTTTTCTGGAAGATGGTCACTCGAAAGACGCACTCTCTCCCTTTATCCTCCTCCAGATGAGCGAGCAGCGAAGGGCGCTTGTGTAGCCAGACGCTCTTTAATGTGAGTAAAGACGCGTACTGCCCGTGTCTCCTTTTTGTCGCTGCAGCCGAGCCCGCCTAGTTAGGATTTGGGAAGTTGCGGGCTTTACGTGGCCTTCGGTGTGATACGATGTTATAATAACACAAGAGGCGGCCGCATTTTCATTTTAGGTCTTCTGATTATCTTTTTTTTAAAAAAAAAACAACGATGTTTATCATTTGGGCACAGTGGACCTCTCGCTTGGTCTGTTTCACTGAAACCGTTCGTTTCGCCTGGTTTGTAAGTGGGTAAGGATCATGCTCATTAAGAAACGGGTAAATAAAAGTAGAGTTGCTGTATTTTGAATCTAAAACGATACAACTGTAAAATAATCATGCAATGTGTACTTATATATATATATTTCAAGTCGATCGAAATTCTTAAACATTACAAACATTACAGCGTGCAGCGTCATATTACGTTACATACATTCAGTTATTGGATATAAACACCGAGTCATTCAAAGATATTACAGTGAAGCCTTATCGTATTTATACTAGTGCCACTGTTTTGCTTTAATTTATATCTGGTCGATAAGTGGCCTTGCCATACTTTATTAATACCGACTTGTTCGTTTAGCTTACTGTATAAGTATGCAATTTGGTTTCAGAAAAAAACCGCACGCCTTACTGTAAAAAAAAACTCTTACCGGAAGCCAGATTTTAAAATGTATTCGGTTATCTTAAAATTTCTGCGGTTTTGTTATTGAAAAACGTGGTGGATTTGCTTTGATTTCGTTCTATGCTAAGGTCATTCCCTGCACACTAGCAGAGTCCAATTGTAATTAAATGCATCGTATCTGTTCTTTTCAGGCAAAGCATTTTTCCATTTAGCTTTGTGCATAACCAAAGGTAGAGGATTTAATTACAAATCTTGGCTTCGCACTGTTGTGATTGCTGCTCTGCTGGTACGTCCTTTGCTATCGCCGCTCCCAGACCCAGACCTTGAGGGGGAGCACTAAATTAAAGATAGACACTGGAAAGAGTTACTGCATCGTCATGCCTGGTGACAACCTTGAAGCAACTTCGTCGCATTGCTGTATAGGGTTTCTACTCCACGACAGCTTTCCAGGGCCCTTTCGTTGAACTGGAACTCTTTAGTTGGGTGATTGACGTTGTAATTAAGAATACTCTTTTTTTTAAGTCATCTTTCAAACTGGCTTTAAACCTTAAGCCATAAGTAACTTATTTTTCAGTGTCTTGACTTGTAGCTTTTCCTTTCCTCCTGATCTGCCTCGGGTCGGGTGAACAAATAGAAGAAAGAAAAAATGGAAATGTGTACCTGTTTAGTAATGGGAATACCATCATTGTGTGTTTTCAGATTTTTTTAAAAAATGTTTCTTCTGGCTGCTAAACATGACAGTACTTTCTGTCTAATTTACACTTTATACCCTTTGTATGAGTGTTAAGGCGTTATCACTAAAATCAAAAGCTCATTTTTTTTTTAGTAGCTTGAATTACAGACCCGGGAGATACAGCTGAATGATGTGGGAGATGTACCCATAAAGACGAGCAGTACACACTTAGATGGGGCCACATGTGTCCTGGAAGAAACTCGTTAACAGGCAGGAAGTACATTGGTGGGTCATGAGGATTTGTTTCAGAAACATACTTGCAGTCGCTCTTTTCTTGATGATTTAGAAAAACCTCAGAAAAGCTGTCCTGTTGCTCTGTGCTAGTGGTGATATAGAAATAAGCCTCAGCACTACCCTTGGTCTGCACATATTATGTGTGGATTGCACTAATATCATTAAGGCTGTCTAGTGTCATTAAGGCTGGCGGTTGAGGTTTACCGATCCCGACGATCTCACCCAGACGTTTCTTGAAAGAAGCCCCGGTTGCTACTTCAACAACATGGCTGGTCAGCTCATTGCAGACTCCCACAGCCCTAAAAAATACAGCTCACCTGTTCCCTGACTGGGAATTGAACCTGGACTGCAGCATGTGTGAACGCAAAATTCTAACTACTAGATCACTAGGGAGTCATGTTAACAATAATCTTCTTAGTTGACGTTGTGGGTTTCATGATTATGCAGCATGGACGGACTTAAACTTGTGTATTATTTCTTTATAATGATAATGACAGATTGTGGCATATGGTAAAATGCCTGCTTAATTCATCACTAATTTTGCTTAACTCTTTAGAGCCAGTATAGTTAATCTTGTCTTCCTTTTCATGCTTCTTGGAAATTGACTGTGCTGCTGAAATATACACATTTTTTATACTCCGCTTATATGTAATTTTCATTTAGCGGAGACCTTTTGTGTAAGCGGAATGATGTCTCAGAATCCCAAAGATAGCAGCAACTAAGTTGGTGTATCGGAGTGATCTAAAGGAGTTGGGATGAGAAATCATAAGCTGTTCGAATAAAAAATATTGTATAGTGCAGTGTGCATCACTTGCAATTAATCAGATGAAGTGCAAGATTGTTGGTGCACAAACAAGAAAAAAAATCCTAATCATGGGTGAAGAAATAAGATGTTGCTGTAGTAGATGACGAGTAGTGTGGCGCTAAAGGTAAATTAGTAATGAAAAGGTTCTTTTTGAGTAGCGGCAGAAAGGCAGTTAGTCGTGATGCCAGCACCAACACAAGAAAGATGACCACAGGTATATGTACTGGATGATGTTGCTAATGGGTTCTCTTAAAAATACAGTATATGACCTCAGTAACAGGTGACTGCCCATTACCTATCAAAGCTGATAGCTAAAGAAATGTGCTTATTAGATACCGGACTTGACATTAAATGTACAAATAGTTCTTAGTGTTTGTTTTTTTACCTTCAGCTGGAAAACTATTTTTTTTACTCAAAAATAGTTGAACAATTTCTACACAAAACGTTAGTGTCTTTGATTGTATTTTCTTCTTCTAAATATAAAACTGAGAGACCGAAATGGAAAACCCTTTCATTCTGACTAGGCTATTGCAGGCTAACGGTAGTACGTTTCAAGCTGGAACCTTTGTGTTGCTACCTCTCTCTGCCATATCGACCGACACACAGGAAAATTTGAATGCAGACAATCAGATCTTCATTGCTTCCTCTTCATATTTTGTGTGTGTATTCTGAGAAAAAAAAATACTTTCAGGCTGCAACATAAAACTGGTTATCAAAAAACAAAGGCATTCATTTGTTTTTAAGTTATTTTGACTGATAGGCAAATAAAAGCCTGAAAGGTAAAATAATGTGATGTCTTTAATGCTACACCATACATAAAACCGTGTCTGTGCAGTCTTAGATTAGATTTCTCTGAATAATACATATAATGTAATATCGGTGCCTATCAGCAGACAACCTTTTGTGTTGTGTGTACAGTTACATGAGCCAAACTTCAGGGTCACGAGTTTAATAATGTATGAGTTGTTGTCTTCCCCTTCAAAGATAAAGTGGGTCGTATGCTGTAATGAGAAATAAGATAAAGACGTTTGAAGCTTTCTGCTCCAAAAATGAGTGACTTTTGGCTCCAATATAAAATTTAATGCACATTCCATGCTCATTTTCCAAAATTGTGTTTGAAAATGTGAAAGAGGTAATTTTTCCTTCCTGTGATGAGTGTTAGATTTGTAATTTAAAGTTACCAACGTTTAATAGGAAAACATTTGAACTTGGCAACTTTTTTTTTTTTCAAGTAGGTGAATGTGATAAATAATGTACATAAAACATTTAAAGCAGTCTTGGTGTAATATTTTAACTGCACGAAAGGTTCATGTCTCTCTTTAAGAAAAGCTTATTTGCAGTGGTTATAAGTTACATCTTGCCAGAGAAATTGGTAAGGGTGGTTACTGCCTTCTTTCCAGATCAGTGTAAAGCATTTCTGTTTGATTGTAATTCTATGGCTTTGAAGAATGCACATCACTGATTAAGAATTCCAAAGCTGACTTATCTGTCCTCTTTCTTTTGACTTTCTCTGTTCTATTTGATTAGTCTTCAAGGTTTTTTGGTCTGTATTTATATTTGTTATTTACACACTTTTATGGTAATTCTGAAATTCGTTTACTTGATTTTGTAAAGATTGGTAGTCCAAATACAAGTGTGGCCTCAGGTTTTATCACAATCATTATGGGTTAATCTTCATTAATTGCATATTCTTTCATTTTCCGGAATATGTGGTATAGGCAGTATATGGACGCTAATTACCTTTTTGCGTATTCATTTATTTTACAGAAGCCACCCAAGGTTTAATGTCTTTGTAAAAGTAATAATAATAAGAAAGTAATAAAAGGTTTATTTCATGCTGAAAAGAGAAGAAAGAAAATGCAACATTTCGGCTGTGGAGCCTTCTCGCACCCAAAGAAGGCTCCACAGCTGAAATGTTGTGTTTTCTTTCTTCTCTTTTCAGCATGGAATTAAATTTTACTTGTTCCTTTGCAGCCTACGCATGCTGACGCAGCTACTCACCTGAACTATAATAAGAAACCATGCAGTCTTGTCCAAGGGCAATATTCGAGCATAACTGTCATTTGCATAAAACAACGACAAAAAAACAACGCAGGAAGTGATGCGACGATTGAGCAAGCCCTTGCATGTTTGCTTAGTTTCAGACAGGAAGTTTGGAGAAGACGTCACTGAGGAGTAATGCCTGTTGAAAGTGGAAGCAGTGCAGCTGCTCGTCAGGCCAAGCAGAAGCGCAAGTCCCACAGCCTTTCCATTCGAAGAACCAACAGCACAGAACAGGATCGGGCAGGAATGCAGAGGGAAATGTTAGAAGGACAAGTAAGTTACAACCCGGAGTGAATTTGAAAGCCATGTCTTTTGTCAAAAGAGAAGCAGTGTGTAATTATATGCTTTTATGGCCACTGGGAAGTATCTTTCTGAGACGCATACAGCACATTGTTTTTGTTAACATGTTGTCCAATGATCCTTAAGTTTGTAAGTTGGCATGTGACTTGAAAGGTGGGAGAGACCTGGTTTTGCGACCCTTTTTTTGCATTGTTTGTTCCCGGTGTGGCAGCAGGCACAGTAGCTGTAACAGCCCACTTGTAAACAAAATTGAGTGCTTTTTCATTTTTTTACTCTTTTGTATTCTGGCTGTGTTTTATCCAGTGATTCACTGTTGTCATAGGTAACACTCTCCCGCAAATGTATTTATGATTATTAGTTGGATGAGTGTCTATAATTAGAAATGCATTTTTATCTTTCAATTCTAAGGATCATTCATATGTAAATATAGGGAAATTAATGAAAAAAATACTTAAAGCGAAATAATTTTCTTATTATTTTATATATATACTTATGCAGATTAAATAAAAGATTAAGTTACAAATATAAACTTTAAATACACAAGACCGTGGAGTGTATTTCAGCTTATGTTATCACGTCCTGCCTTTTGGAAGACAGTTGGTTGTTAACCTGCGGTTAGGACAGTATGGCAGGTCAGTGATAATATCCACTTTTTGTTTCTTATCTGGCGGTGCACAGTAAATGAAACCTCTTATACTCCTGTGACATGTGTCATTCTGTAATTTTCTGAAAAACAAATACTAACCCTGTCATACTTGTGATCAGGATGGACTCTTTGTAGCTTAACATTGGAAATGTTAAGAGAGCTACACAGGAGAAAAAATGCATACATACAGTACACTAATACTGTGTTTCACTCTTTGTGTTTTTGCCTTATTTATTTCCCTTTATTTATGTTTTGGTTGGTTACATATCTTGTAATTACATTGTATACAAGCATGAATGACCTAAATTGGGAGTGATATCTTTACTACTTTGCTGGTGATAACCCCCACTTTTGACATTGAACAAACACACATTCTCTCCTTGCTGCAGGGTCTGGTGGAAATATTAAAAGGCCTTTTGTGTCCTTCAGGAAGATGAAGTCATAGTGGATATATTCCATTGTGGAAAAACTCTTTGAAAGGCTACAAGTGAAAAATTTGAAGTGGTAAAGCAGATGGATCAGCAGTAGTCTTGAAATCCAGAAGTTCTTAGTGTGCTGTGAATTCAGATCTGGCAGTGTACTTTTGAAGGACATTTCTATTTGATGAAAATGATCAACATAGCAGACAAAAAAGTATTTCGCCAGTTATTCATTAGTGCCAGGTAAATACGTCACTGGATATGAGGCACTGACAACTTAAAACCAGTTTTCTTTCAGTATTGCCCTAGGTAATTAAATGCTTTTCAAATTAAGTTATATATGTTATGTTATATGTAAACATAAAAGCTGTTGGCACAATTAAAACACAATATTTAATACTGATTTAAAATTAACAGCATTTTATTCTCTAGCTGTTGTGGTAATTAACCTATTTAGTTTAATTTGGGACTGCTTAGAGAGCTGGGTATAGATAAGATGTTCTCGAGTCGGACTAAACTAAAAGTTGGACACCTAAAAATACTAACCTAAGATCTTTGTTTTTATGTAGTAAAATATTTCTATTATATGTGTGTGGTAATTAGCCTCTCCATACATAGTAATGGTACATAGCCCTGTTCCAGAAGACAGTGATATTCTAACCAAAAGAGAAGTGTGAGCCTTGGCTCATATAATAAAATATAATATAATATAGAGTTAATTAATTTAGTCTTTCTTTTTGATCCGTATCTGTTAACACTTCTAGGCCTGAGAAGCAAAGGGAGAATGTTTCTTAATATAGAGGAAGGGGCTGTTTAATTTGACTGTATGTATACACAGTATTGCTTCGCTGTATGAGCATCCACTACTGTATACAAGTTTTAATTTATATGCGATATACTGTAGTGTAATTCCTACCTATGTTTTCATTTGACAAGGAGATTTTCACTCTTATGAGGTAGGCTCTTGTAAAGAAAGCATTGCCCAGATTCTTCTTTTCTAGCATCTGCATGGATTAAGTATTTATTTTTAGTTATTTTATTATAATAAAGGCTTATGTGTAACAAGTGCGTATAAACTAGTACAGGATAGTACCTAATGTTCAAACATTTGCTAATGGCTGTACTTTGCCATAAGGGAGCAGGAGTGTTATTATTTTTCTATCTATTGTTTATGCATTGGCAAATTACTTTGAGCATGTTACTTGAATAATTAATGGGGAATGTTACTTTAATAACAACATACTATGATACTGTTGTTGTGCTGTATTAAGATGAAGTTTGGGTGTTTGAAGGCACGTTTTTGAGTTATGGAACCAATAATATTATTAGACAGGAAGTAATGGGACTTTAAATTCCTTCATGAGCAGTTTTTGAGGACCAGAATGAAGTTTGTATGATGCCAGATTACTGCACATATACATATCTGCATATATAGGTGTTTTCTGTATCTGTTTGGTATGTATATGCTTGAAGACAAATATTGTCATGGTTAAATTTAAATACTGCTACACATTTATTTGTATAATTATTAAGCTCTATGTTTTAATAGTATAATTTCCTAGAATATTGACTGCCACTTCATTTTACTGAGAAGAGGTAAAGATCCTGGTGACTGGGGTTCTAAATACATCTTCACTGTCTGAAGTCACATGTCCAAATAAATCAATTATAAGCCCAACTCTACTGCACAGGAAACATTGATGTGATGCAGAAATTGGATTAATGAAGGGACAATTAAGAGGAACTTAAAGCGTAAAATCAATAATAAGGCATTCCATTTGCAAGAGCTAGTCAGAATGATAGCCAGATGCATAACCAGCATAAATTGTGTAGATTTGATCAGTGGTTAACCTAGCAGCAAAATAAAAAGCTTTAAATGGGAAGGCACTGAAGACATCTTTAAATAAAGAAGGCATTGAGTGTGAGAGTCCATGTACATATACTCTCTCATATTTAACATTTCATCAAATAGTTCTGTTGACATTTTGAAAGTGGTTTAGTAGGCTTTAAAACTGACAGCTTGAGAACAACAAATAGAAACAAGATTCACATTGCAGTTTGCTTCAACATTTGTTTGAACATCATAGTATTGTTTTTCAGAATCCCACTGTCTTTCCTGTAAGGGAATGTAAAGAGAACTATACAGTATCTTCTGATGCATTGTATAGTATTTCATTTCTGTTGTTTGCTTCTTGCATTATCCAAAAGCCTTTTTCTAGTGAGAGATTATGATCCTTTTGTCTTATTGTGTTTACATACATGCGTACAATGGTCTTATGGTTCATTACAAGATAAAAAGCTTTACATGTAAAGTAGTGTAGTGAAAAGTAACAAATTAAATAATATATATTGATATTCTTTCAAAATACTTTGATTGTAGAAACAATTGTTGATTGGTCATGATATTGTTAATACCAAGGAAAATAACAGTATGACTTTGAACAGTGTGACGTCTTTTCCAGGTGCTTATACAGTACCAGCTTATTCCAGTACAAAATAGTATTATGATGCATTAGTGCTGATGCTGAGAAGCTGATTCTACTAGTTGAATGTGTAAGCAGATACCCGAACTAAGTATTCACTGAAAAACATGCCAGAGTTCTCTGTGCCCAGTTGTTGCATCACTTTCCTAAATTGTATTTGTGCTTTTGTTTAAGAAAGGCATACAGTATCTTCAATAAGGGATATTCCAAACCATGTGCTGCAAAGTTTTATGTCCTATTATTTAATCAAAAGTTACAGCTGAATTTAATATTGCTCTGTTAGATTTCTCAGTTGCACTCATTCAAATCAGCTGTTCAGGTGATGGAATGTGCTCTGGCGCAGCAGCTCCTCCAAAAATATAAATCCTGTTGGTGCAATATTTAGAAAAAAAAACTTTAATGTGTTGGTTTCATGAAAATGCTTGGACTAAAGCATGTTTACAATGTAATAGGGCTGCTTTCGTGTTACTGGGCATTAGTTGCCTCGTTCTGAAATGCAGACAATGACGGCAATATGGCGCAACACACACATTGGAACTTTGTCTCTTTTGTGATGTAGATTGGAGTTTGTACACGTTATGGTGTATGTGGTAGTTTCATTGTGGTTTGAAATGCTCTAATCATTGCCGAATCATTATAACCCCAAAAAGTAAAAATAGTTTGGCAGTTCCCCTTTAACACGTTCGGTTGTAACATTAGAGGAAAAAAAATAGGCACAACTGACAAACAGACATGGACAATAAATTTAGACAATAGACGTTATAATACAGCCAGGACGTAGTGCAGTACCTTAAAGTGCAGGTGCTAATTTGAGCTGTTTATGATGCGGACTGCCTGGGGGAAGAAACTGTTTTTGAATCTATTCGTCAGAGTTCTGATACTGCGATACCTCCTACCAGAACCCAGGGGTGAAAACAGATCGTGACCAGGGTGAATTGGGTCCTGATGTATACAATAGCTAAAGCCTGGTTGTGGCAGCGGACGAGATATATCCAGTCGATGAAGGTTAGCTCGGTCCCAATGATTTTCTGCGCGGACCTCACAACCTATATATAACCTGATATACTGGATACTATATACAGTCTTATACAGTAGGGGTGTTTTCACTTGTAAGACTGCAGTATTGGGGGCTGTTTAAAAGGAAACGGAGTAAGCAATGTGAAGTGATGCTTATTGTTTTATAACAGTTCTTAAAGCAAACAACAGTGTTCCTTTTAATCAAAACTCTTGTAATATCGAACCTTATGACATTATTCATTTTTTGGAATTCAGACTTTGCAGTACATTCCCCCTTTTCAGATTTACATTCGTTAAAGTTGATTTTCCTTCAAACCAAAGTAGCGGAAAATGGTTGAACCTCATCTTATGTGCCTGACTGTCTTGTGTCTTCTTGGCCTTGTTTTAAGACATGATAATGGATGGTTT